CCTTTTCCTTCTACTTGGCTTGTCGCTCACAATTAGCAGATTTATATATTGTTGGTGATGCATATATTTAGCACCGCATTGAACATTTTTTGTGGCAGGACAGATTGATGGACAATTCTTTTGATTGTGTAGTTGTATATGAAGTTCCACATACATGAATCTCCACTCATCTGGTAAGATTCCAAGATAGGCTAACATCAAAGCAATTTTTGTAAAAAAAATCTTACCACCAGACTATTATAAAAGTATTTTTTGCACGAGGTTGAATATTAAATGTTGGGTGCTTGATAATTCATCTAGCTTGAGATCCACCACTGATGACACGAGTCTGCTACCCTGCTCCTGTGAAGGTAACCGAAGTCCTGCGCCTCCCACCGTGATATCCTCTCTCTGCTTGCACCTCTTCATGTGAACTCCTCCCAATTCTTACCACTTTTTGGGTTGTTTGATTCAGATTTCTTTTTCTAAAATTAAATCAAGTCTCAAGGTTTCTTTTTCTAAATATAGTTACCTAAAGATTTTATTTGTTTGGATACAACCTCTGAATTCAAAAGCAAAACATGGATGTTGTGATAGCGGTGGAAGAAACACTCTTAATTGTTTCTGATAAATAACGATGCCTTTCTTATACAGGTTTTTTGGTGCGTTTGTGCTCGTCGGCGGGACGGTGCAAGGCGCAACTCCGACATGGTTCCTTGCCGGTTGGACGGCGTTCACGCGCAACCCCGACGTGCACTGAGTACTGCCTCGGCTACAACCTCCCTCGGTGAGCTCCATCTTCCTCCTCCTCCTCTGCTTTGGCTACTGTATGGGACATGGCCATCAAGAAATAAGGATGCCAATGAGCCTCCAGCCTCCTCAGCGATTTGGGCTTCCTGGCCGTTGGATCGAAGCGCTTGATGCAATCTGAGCCGTCGGATCGAGCCCTGGAACGACCTCGTCCGTCGGATAAAAAATAGTTATTGCTGGAATGAACAGTTTCACCTCGACCGTGCCACCACACGTAAATAACCTGCCCCGCCAGGGGCATTCTCGCCATTTTTCTTTGTCTGTGGCTGGCGTTCGTGCTAGGGCGATGATGATTAACTGTGGCTGGAATAAGTGTGCCTTTGAGCAATCAAGGCACCTGTGGGTATCAAGTTGGATCCTCCCCGTTGTCTCTAGAATCCTTTTTGATCCTGTGACACCTATTGATCTGTCCTTGGATAGTCATTCTTGTTGAGTGATAACCAGGGCAGCTCCATTGTGTAAACAGATTGATCTGGTGATAAGAGATGATGGGGGATAGGTTATATGATCGAGAAAAGGCGAATCTGAGCCCACTATGCAATAAAACTGCAGCTACCTCCCCTAATGTGTGTAGCATTGAAGGCAAAAGAGAACTTTTAATGTCTTGCTACTTTAAAATTCCAAAAAGGTGCATTCTTCCTTTGCTGGGTACTGATTCTTGATCTTAAGGTGACCCCATTTTTCTATGCCTCATGCTCATGCTGCTCTATGTTCCCTTTTAAAGATTCTTGCTTGCATTTTGGGTTGGTTTTCTGCTCTATGTTCCCTTTTAGAATTTCTTTCCGCTGTTGCTGCATTCCCTTTTTTGTATATTACATGTTCTTTTTGTATCTCATTCTGCATGTAACATAACTAAATAATACATTGAGATGAAATGTTGTATCTGATATCATTGAGAGGAGCAGGTCAACATCCCTACCTCCCTCTTCAACTCCCACCCAACACAATTGTGGTGAGCCCCCCTCTCATTATGGTTAGCTGCAACTCATCCATGGTTTTGTTTTGGATAGTCTAAATTCTGGTTAACTGCAGCTCATCCATGGTTGTACCTTTTCTTCTTTTCCCCCTTGCAGGTTGGTCCGCTGTCTATAGGTGCTCGTCATTCTGGCTAGTTTGTCGTGCTCTATCTTCGACCACCTCTTTGCAGGTTGTCCCCTTTTCCCCCTCTCTTCTATGCTTTCCAGGCCTAGGCTTACATTTCTTCCTGTATGAAGCGGCTGTTAGATTTTGTTTGGACAATGGATGTATCTGCCTTTTGTTCTCTTATTGGTAGAAGCCTAGAATCTAAAACTATTATCCCCTGCCTTTATTTTTGTGCTTGCTTGGCATTTGGAATTGGGCATTTTGGTCACTTCTATAGATCATGGTAGGACCTAGGATTTTTTGTACCTTTCTTCTATGTCCTAGAAGTAGCGTGTTGATTTGTTTGTTGGAACTGCTCGCATGTGTCGTGTTGTTGGGGCTACCAGACAAACCAATATTGTTCTAGATATGATTTATAAAAAATGTTCATTGTCTGTACCTAAAGTAGTATGTTGTTAGGAAGACATTCACTGGTGACCATATAAAGCCACATTTCCAAATAATATATATTAGTTTGTCTCTTCAATGGTGTCATTCTCCATTTTTATAGGCATTAAGATCTCCCTGTTATTTTTGTTCTAAGGATGCACTTTAGTATTATGTAACTATGCTGATTTTACTGTCAGCACAAAAAATAGATGAGTTCAGACTTCTGCTACATAATAACTTTACCCCATAACAAACCTGTAGACTACTAACTGGTAAGGCACGATTTTCATTTTTGAAGCGAGGAACAGAATCCCTACTGTTCTAGTCTGGAGAGAACATCTCTCTTGGCTGTACAACAGAGGGGTTACTTCACATACCCATCAGCAGTGAGGCTAATATCATCTCTAATCAAGTGAAGAAGCAAGGGCACAACCTTAGTTTTCTGTTGGAAGACTTCTATTTCTCTCATTCCAGAGGTGCTAGCCTGTGCAAGCAATGACGGTGTACTTTTTATTGATCTGAATCTTCAGGCTTCATTCTGAAATTTTGGGCCACGAACGCTTGATCGCAAAAGTAACAGGTATCATGGTAAGGCCAGTTTCTGTTTTCCATGTTGCCTTATTTCTCTTCTATCTGCAGTTTGCTTCCACATTCTATATGTTTGCGAAGAAATTCCGTATCATTTTGTATGCTCATCAATTGTTGCATCTAGAATACATATGTCAACCATGTACCTTAAGGATTCCTTAAGGGCCTCATGATTGTTGGTGTTTTTTTTTTCATACGAAAACACCAAGGTTATTATCCCAACTATCATAGTTTGAACCAGCAGGATTATCATACAACTAAGCATATTACTATAGTTTTAGATGTTATTCCTTAGCACATTATTATATCAACCGGAGGTGGATGTGTTTTAGCTCATTCGTTATAACTGATATATATGATTTAAAACTAAACATTCCCATGTCTTCTAAATTAGTGCTTCCCATGCAGAGCATAAAGTTTGTATCGTGTTTTGTATTTCTATTATATTGTATACTTGCTCAAAATCTGTAGTGATAATTTTAATGAAAATCATTAAATGGGTATTTTTGAGTGCGTGGACTGTTGTTTATTAACTACAAGTATTTAGCACCTTTTAACAAAATTGGAAGTCTTTTCCATCCTGAGCTCATTCCCAGGCCTACTCTAGAACATTTTCCTAAGGATAAGAGGGCCACAATAACAACCAATTGATCAGACTTTGTAAGGTGGTAGGGATCAAAGAATAACGGATATGAGTCTTTCTTTGCCTTCTGGACTAAAAGGGGAAATTATCGTTCACTGTCCATATACGCTTTAAAAGTCTAGGGTACAAAATCACAAAATGCATTGTATACACATGAATCGTTCTATGCCATGTATCTAACGGGTTGCCTTCATCAGGTTAATGTGACGTGCCGCCTATGAAGTTGATCGATAAGGCAGCCGAATGAAGCAACTTATTAGTATGCCTAATAGCTATGGCTACCTAATCTTTACCTTTTTTATTGTGTACCTTCTCTTAGTACTTCCTCTCATGTTCGCGCTCTTAGTACCGAAGTTAATGACAAGTTGTTACCTTTTGTGGTCTCACGAACGCACTAAACTGAATGCTGCCTTGTAGTCTCATGACAATGTTGAACTCGATGATGTTTTGCTCCTATTACATGTGAAATAGGAGCTTATTCCTTTTACTTTGTTACCATGTTTGAATACGTACGCTAAACCTGATTTCCTACTAAATTGTGCATTACCTACTTGGTCATAATGTTGTAACCGGCACCCTCGCGCCAAGGCGCGTTTCCGATCTAGTAGCTAATGAGAGGAGGTGGGGTGTGCGCCCATTTGTGGAAAGAACTATATCGGGCGCTTATGGCACCAAATAGGATTTGACAGCTTAGTTTTCAGGCATGTCAAATATGCCATGACCTTTTTCTTCAATTAAAATAACTATTTCAACCCTATTAGGCCTTTGTTTGGGCTTTCGGTTAAGGCCTCGAGCAGATAAGTTGAGCCCGAACCTGCCCCAGATTTTGGGTTTTCGGGCCCAAGTCATCGGGCCGGGCTTCCCATGGACAGTTCTACTCCCAGCCACTTCGCCTAAGCCTACTTTTCCTTTTAATCATTGGAGAGCAATTAATTAAGGAGTACCCCTTCCGGAGCCCCCACAAGGATCATTTGGGGTGGGCTGGGAGCGTGTCACTTGGCGTGCTCTCAGTTGTCGTAAGTGTCGCGCTCTAGGCGCTTCCTCCATATTTTTTTATTTTTCTGTACGCGTTTTCGGTTTTTAGATGATTATTTTGTATTTTTGGCTTTTTGGGCTTCCCCTGATTTTTTTGGATTTGGACCCCAAAAAAGTTCAATTTTTGTGTGTGAAAAAACGAGCAAATGCGTACATGTAGTTTGGACCCAAAAAACGTGCTCCCGGTTCGGATTTTTCCGTCCGTGTTTTTCGTGAAAAAAAAGTTCATCGAAGCCTATCAACATGTATCTTGTTTTGGAGACCTCGACGTGAAGAATCCAATGATGAAAACAGTTTAAGATTTGGACACATGATTTGATAGATAAACATTTTGAATAAACGGATGTCCGGAAAAAGGAAAAACTTTCTGCGCACATGCGGCGTGGCACTTGTCGCAACCTGGGTGTAGGAGTGATCTTTGAAAAAGTACTTCTTAATTGGTGATTTTGTAATCATTGTGCTCGTTGATGGAGACCAGTTGGGCAGGGACGACCGTCTGTGTAGCTGCAACAACTAGGTGGCGAGCTTTGCCATTGCACACAAGAGAGATGCCACTCCTGCATAGCCCTGCGGATGGAGCCGGTGTCCTTGTAGTCGTCGCGGAAGGTCTCGAGGTTCTCAATCATGCCGCGCACGGACGACACGAGCAGCTCGTGCTTCCACCCCTCCACGCGAGGGAAGTCGCAGTACTTCTCCCCGAAATCGTCCATGTACTGCACGCACACACCGACACACGCACGCCGCCAATCAAAGCAACGATGATCAGCGAATCGATCGAGCAAGAGCAGCATGGTGGCGCGGTCACTCGTGGTTACGTGGTGCGTACCGTGATATCCCGCCTGCCGATCTCGTGGGTGTACTTGCGGGGCACGCCGGCGGCCTCCCTGGCGCGGTAGAACTCCTCCACGGACCGAAGCATCTCCTCCTCCGCCGGCAGCGCCCGCCTGCCGGACAGCACCTGCGCCACCCACCGGGCCTGGGTCTCGAAGAAGCGGGGCGCGAAGATCTTTCTCGGCACGCCGACGAAGGAGAGCGACGGCGCCAGGGACGGCGGGAACACGTGCTCGAACAGCGGGCCCACGCGGTTGTCGTCCACGGCCACCGCCCCGCCCGTCTCCAGGAACGGGAACGAGTAGCTGTACCCCGTGCAGTAGATGACGGTGTCGGCGGCGATGCTGGAGCTGGAGCCGCCGCCGTCCTTGAACGCCACCCGCCCGTCCTCGCACAGACGCTCCACCTGCCGGCCGCCCGGGATGAACGGTGCATTGCATTATATTGGTTGATTCTTGATTGATCGGTTCCCTCCGTTGTGTCGAATGTGTACGTACCTCAAGTCGGAGATGGAGGTTGGCGCTGTGCTTGGCCAGCACCTTGGACAAGCCTGGGGTGACCGCCTCCATGGACTCGGCGACGAGGTACACCTCCTTGGCCACGCCGCGGATCTCCATGGCGATGTCTTTGCCGCTCTCCCCGCACCCGACCACCACCACCACCTCGCCGCGGAACGGCTCCGGCACCCTGTACGAGTGGCTGTGCATCTGCCTCCCCCGCCACGTCTCCATGCCTGTACATCTTCTTCTTTATAAACGACTATGGGAGTATATGGGTGCCGGGTAGAGCTTGCATTGCTTTACTTACCTTCGATGCTTGGCAATCTTGGCTGCGAGTAGTGGCCGGTGGCGACGACGACGGCGTCGAACACCTCGTCCACGTACGCGTCCAACGTCTTCTCGTCCGTATCATCGCACTCCACGAGCCCGAGGTCCATGGATCTCACCGCCCACCGACGCGCCGGCGTCATGGCGGCGTGCAGGACCCTGGTGTTGAGCCTCACGGCCTCCATGAGCCCGAACGCATTGCAGAAGTCCTTGAGGTACAGGTGCACCTCGCGGTGGCCCGGGAAGCGGCGGTCGTCGCGGCCGCTCTTGGGGCAGAAGGGGAAGTCGGTGAAGCCCGTGCTCTGCCGGGGGCTGATGAGCCGGAGCGAGGCGTATATGCTGCTGTGCACCTTCACCGGCGCCGCCACGCCGAGCGGGTCGGCGGCGTCGGTCCTCGGGTCGTACAGCCACTGCCCGCCTACGTCGCCGCTCTGCTCCAGCACCGTCACGTCGTGGGCCTCCCGGCGCAGCTCGCGCGCCGCGGCCAGCCCGGCCATGCCGGCCCCGATGACGCACACCTTCTTCGACTGCGGCGGCTCGCTGCGGCAGACCGTATCCATGTTGATCGGCAAGAAGTCACGGGGAGGCGTGGTCGCGTGGAGCAACGGCCTGTCTGATCTGTTCTTGGCGCGAATTTTGTGTCACATATTCACATCCTCTGCCTCTTAACCCTGCTGGACTCCACCCACCTCCACTGTGATGAATAATTGTAGATCATTCAGGTGGTGGTTGCAGCAGATGGTAGTAGATATAGTGGTGCCATTATCGACAATTATATATATGCCTTTTGCGTAAAGGGGGCGTCTTTTACCTACAACTGTATAATGTTCCCACAGTGGTTGGTTGTAGCAACACACACGCGGGTGCTCATGCAACAAAAACTACTAATCTAATGGAACCAAAAGTTATTTGATTAATCATATGAACCAGTTGGGAAGCTTATAACTACAACGACGTCCCTAGCTAGTGTGCGCCGCACTGTTTTGCCCACAGAGTGCCCCCTTTCCTGAAATAGAAATAGAATGTCAGGTTATTCCCCGTCTCACTGTCTAAAAAGGGCAAAATCTGGCCCCACACAGGCCACCCTCCATCCACGTCCGTCCATTGTGAAACATCATATGGTGGGCCCCGGATAAACACACGCGGTGTTCGTGCAATAAAAAGAACTAATAGTCCTAGAATGCACTACTCTCAGCTAATTGAGCCCCATTTTCCAACCTTCTTGGTTGGGCTTTGTTACATCTACGTAACAGTCAAACATAATCTTTCGAAAGCTAGTTTCGCATGTTACGATTGGATGAAAAGACGGCTCGGGCCCCATCCCGCAAGGGGGGGGGGGGGAGTAGATTAAGAAGTAACAAGGTGATGTAGGATTATTGTTTTGGTTTTGTTCCCTCCGTGTGATTTTCTTTTTTTGGAAACCAAACTACCTTGCTGTTCTATTGCTTGGTGATGAAGCTCAATCATGATTATCGCTGATGCCTACCAAGTGTTTCTCCTAGTTGTTGAAACAACAAAGAGAACGTTCCATATGAATAAATGATGATTATTAGGTCTTCATATATCCTTGGATACAAATTCCATCATGCATTTTGTGTCACAAGAAAAAAAAGAGGGGTACACGAAATGAGCCTGGCGCAAGCTCTTTCGTGCACAAACTATACTATTCATGTAAAAATGTATACGTCGTTAGTGCTTTTGCGAGGGTGTTGCTAGATGGTAGAACAATAGCTCATTCCACGTATCCGGCACTCCGGGAAGTCACCAGTGGCTGCAATCCTGGATGCTCGACTCAATTCCTCCCATCTTCTTCCCCTTCCTCATGTATACAGACGGATGGCCATCTACCCTAAGCCCAGAGAGAAACACGATGTCCATGATCATCACGGGGGTCTTCATCTGCTGCACCACTTGCTCCAAGACGGCATTCTTCTAGGGCACCGGCGGATGCTGCCTCGCATGTGTGACGCCATCGATGGGCATCCTGCTCTCCCTGCAGTGCCCCCCTGAATTCCACTCCCCGCCTCTAGAACCAGCGACATATTGTGTTAGTTTTGCTCTCACGCATGCCACAATAGATAGATTGTGATTCGAGGTGGCGATCTCACCAACCTATAATGCGTTGGGGCCGAGGTTCGGAAGAAAACTCGCGTTTGCAGCGAATCCATGTGGTGGTCAATCCGCGACTCCCATGTGGTTAGAGCTCTGTGATAAGCTGTGTTCGCTTCCAGGTTGGTATGGACGACATCCCCTTCTTGGTAATAATTCACCCTGCAAGCAAAGAAAAAGCACTTGCACATGAGTGGTCGGGGCGAAAGAAAATCTAACTACAATATGAGATTTGGAACATCCAACCATCACAACACTAAAATCCCCGTGCTCAACATTTATATTTTATCCAAGCAACATCGCTGCAACACTTGCTCATACGATCCGTAGAAAACATGTAATGATGTTGCAACATTTAATCATGTCCATGAAGCAACAAAATCAAGACATGCAAAAAAATCATCCATTGCAGCAACCGGTTAAAAAGGTTGTTTTTTTGCGGGAAAATGTTAAAAAAGGTTGTTGCGTAGTAAGCGAGGTTAAAAAAGGCATACACAACAACACGAAAACACATCTGTAGCATGAGAAAAACAGCCCCTGCAAATACACACATAAAGCTAGGATCATCACAACATAACATCAATGCGTGCACAATTTACGCATTTGCAGCATTCTAAAACACCCTCCACGACATGAAAAATAATCAAATTCTCTAATCTTGGCAATTTGGAAACATATAGTTGTAAGTTTAGTTTCTTTATTAAACATTTTTGTTCACGCAAACCCCGGGTGCATAAAGTTCGTTCCAGTGTGTGTGTGTGTGTGTGTGTGTGTCACACACACACACACACACACATCTTGGCAATTTCAATATGTTATCAAACATTTGTTAAAAACATAAACCCATTATCTCACCGAGCTTTGGTTTTGCGATGAGACCACCAATGACCAGTGTTGAACACAAGCACATCCGCACCTATCCATTTCGTTGAGCTCCAAGCAATGGTGTCAATCCGCAACGTCTCTGTGTTTTCACCTCTCTTGTTGCCTTCGCTCACTAGGAAATGAGCCATATGGTACTCCACGCTGCAGTTGTGTCCTACATGCATAAATCAAATAAATTTTATTAACATTGAAATGAATGAGTAATCTTGTTTTTAAAAAGAGTGACTTGAGGAGGCCCACGTAAAAACTAGACTATAATACCCTTTTCAATAAGAGAATAAATCTTAATCTTAGACACTAATCTGCATCGGAAGTCCTAATGTTTTTTTGTAAAAGGAAATGTACCGAAGCACATCTCTTGTAAGAAATATAGGGACATATAATACGAACCAAAAACCTGAAATTGTAATGTCCTCTCTTCTTGGTAAACTCGCGGCCACCTGCTTGACAAATCCTCGTTGAATTCGAGACCGCCCTTCTCAGCAAGCACATGATGGATTCCCATTGGTTCCTTCCAATGGAGTCCCCCACCAACACCAGGCGCTTCCCACGCAACATCTCCAGTGCTTTTCTAGCATCGAACCTGAACAAGACTTCCAAGCCAGAGTTTGTTAGCACAAGCTTCTGTCTCTCGACTCTCCTTCTCTCTCTCGCTCTCTCGCTCTCTCTCTCTCTCCCGCACACACTTGAGCTAAAGACCAATGGCTAGAGGCAGAAAACAATGTTTTTGCGCATTGCTCTTCTCCTTTTATTCATCGGAGAAAGGGAAATCATGTCGTGGAGCTTTCCCAATGACTGGTCGTGCCACCCCATGATCCGTGTGTGCACCAGGCTGCCTATAGTCTCTCTAGGGACCGCATAGACCTTGTCCTATAGCTCTAACCGAAGCGCAAAATGGAAAATAGACTGAAAGTACTGCCATGTGCCAGGGCAATCGTTTTCACCCCATTTCAACTTCCAAGCACGGAAAACAGAAAACACCTAAATACGCTATCTAAGTCTAGTCTAAAGGAAATATGCCCTAGAGGCAATAATAAATTTGTTATTTTATACTTCCTTATATCATGATAAATGTTCATTATTCATGCTAGAATTGTATTAACCGGAAACTTGATACATGTGTGGATACATAGCCAAAACACCGTGTCCCTAGTATGCCTCTACTTGACTAGCTCTTTAATCAAAGATGGTGAAGTCTCCCAACCATAGACATGTGTTGTCATTTGATGAACGGGATCACATCATTAGGAGAATGATGTGATGGACAAGACCCGTCCGTTAGCTTAGCATAATGATCGTTCAGTTTTATTGCTACTGCTTTCTTCATGTCAAATACATATTACTCCGACTATGAGATTATGTAACTCCCGGATACCGGAGGAATACCTTGTGTGCTATCAAACGTCACAACGTAACTGTGTGATTATAAAGATGCTCTGCAGGTATCTTCGAAGGTGTTTGTTGGTTGGCATAGATCGAGATTAGGATTTGTCACTCCGAGTATCGGAGAGGTATCTCTGGGCCCTCTCGGTAATGCACATCATAAGAAGCCTTGCAAGCAATGTGACTAATGAGTTAGTTACGGTATGATGCATTATGGAACGAGTAAAGAGACTTGCCGGTAATGAGATTGAACTAGGTATGAAGATACCGACGATCAAATCTTGGGCAAGTAACATACCGATGACAAAGGGAATAACGTATATTGTCATTACGGTTCAACCGATAAAGATCTTCATAGAATATGTAGGAGCCAATATGGGCATCCAGGTTCCGCTATTGGTTATTGACCGGAGAGGTGTCTCAGTCATGTCTACATAGTTCTCGAACCCGCAGGGTCGCACGCTTAACGTCCGTTGACGCTAGGGTAGTATTGGGATATTTGATGAGTGGTAACCAAATGTTGTTCGGAGTCCCGGATGATATCCCGGACTTCACGAGGAGTCTCAAAATGGTCGAGAGGTAAATATTTATATATAGGAAGTCATATTTTGGGTTCTGGAAAAAGGTGCGGTTTTTTCGGTATTGTAACGTGAAGCTTCCAGAAGGTTCCGGAGGGGTCCGGAAGTCCACAAGTGGGTTCACCACGACCCAAGGGCTAGCATGGGCTGTGGGGTAGTGCCCTGGCCTTATTGGGCTAGGCACACCAAGTCCTCAAAAGCCCATGTGCCTAGGGAAGGCAAATAAGGAAGGAGTCCTAGTAGGAATAGGATTGGACTTGGAGTCCAAGTCCTCTCCCCCTTAGCTGCGCCCTAGGGCTTGGAGGGGCCTTTTGCCACGCCCCTCCACCTATATATATAGAGGGGGGGGGGGGTGCGCCCCAATAGGATACACCAAGCCCTTGATGCCCCTCTCTCTCTCTCCCGTTACTTCATAGTTCCACCGCCTCGTCCCGGCGACGCTTATCGAAGCGCTGTCGGTGCTCCACCACCACCATCACCACCATGGCGTCATGTTGGTTGTGATCCCATCTACTTCTCCTTTCCCGCTTGTTAGATCAAGAAGGAGGAGACGTCATCGAGCCGCACGTGTGCTAAACTCATAGGTGCCGTCCGTTCGGCACTAG